TCTTATGTTGATAAAGTTTATGTTCCAGATTTAGCAATCATTTCAGATAAGACCATCGAAGAATCAAAATTAAAAGCTAGTTCTTTGTGTGAAGCACTAGGAGCAAGTCCACTGTCTTTTCACATAACGCAAAAGCGAATAGAAGACTTAACACAAGGAACTAAACAGAAAGTTAAAAAAAAATTTGAGAAATGTAAAGTGCAGCACGAGAAGATATTTGCTGAAGCAATTGCACCTGGTCAATCAGAAGCACTTATAACCCAAGTATTAAACAGTGAAGATGAAAATGTTGCAACTGAAATGGTTTCAGAAGACCTTCTTCTTGTACAAGTTAAGATGTTCCAAGAAAGCGATTCTTTAGGAAAAATTCTTTTGCTTTCAGTTGTTAATCATAATAAGTTCACTAAAGAGACATTAATGAAAGTCTTTGATTGCAAAAAACATCAAATAGAAAAAGGACGCAAGTTGCAAAAAGAAAACATTGGACTTTCCATACCAAAGAAGGGTAAGGTAAAAATATGCCGAATGACTCAAGAAAAAATTGAACATTTTTTGGAATTTTTATTTTCTCGAGGTCTGCTTCAAGATGTAGCATATGGTATAAATAAAATAAAGTTTGACAACGGAGAGAAACAAAAAGTGGCTAATGCCATTTTGATGATGAAGTTTAGCCATACAATCACATTTTATAAAGAAATTTGCCTAGAAACTAATTTTGTCCCTATGTCAGATAGTTCTTTATTGAGAATTTTTTGTGGAATAAAACCTTCTCAAAGGAAATCTTTAGCTGGTCTTGATGATGTTACAGCAGCTGGCATGAACGGTTTCCAAACATTAATTGCCATTTCTGAGAAGTGGAAATATAAAAATGTTACTAAGTTTCTTGAAAAAGGTAAAAGGTATCTGAAGAGTAATTATCCTTCCAAATGTAGTGAAAATTCAACTTTGCATAGTCACTCAACTTCATTTGCCCTTTCGGATATAGATCCATACTTAAACCAATCAAACATAACCGCTGACGATAAACAATGCATTGACTGTACTGACCTCATTTCAGTAATCAATCAGGTTCGTGAGTTGGTTATACAAAGTGAAGATGAAGATCTACTATATGATTTAAATGTGGCTACAGAAGGTGTTGAAGCCTATATGAAACATCAAATTCGTGATGCGCAGCAAAAAATGGCCAAAATAATGGCTTTTGAGCAACTTGATGAGGAAACAGGATTTTGGCTAAAGGATTTTTGTCAAAAAATATTGCCCGCTAAATTCCGTGAAGGCCAAAAAGAATATTTTGGGAAAAAAGGAATGACTCTACATGTTGATGTCTTCTTCTTCTATGAAAATGGTCGAATGAAAAAAAAAGTTTATTTTACTGCTATATATAGATGTGAGCAAAGCCTTGTTGATGTACTCTGTCTCGCTGATGTTGTTTTGGCCAAAGTTAAAAATGATTTTCCTTATTTAAAGAATCTTTATGCAAAGTCAGATAATGCATCATCTTATCATGGAAACTTCTACTTAGAAGCCCTTTACAATGTTTGCAAAGCAAAACAATTTTTCCTTAAAAGGTATGATTACAACGAGCCTTCGCGTGGAAAAGATCAATGTGATAGAGAGTCAGCAGGAGCGAAATGTGTCATTAGGAGTTTTGTTGACGCAGGAAACAATTTATTGGCTGCAGAAGATCTTTATGAGACTCTTCATAATGGTAAAGGAATTCAAAACGCTGATGTTGCTGTAGTTATAATAAATTCCAAAGCCTCTATTTTATCAGGATCAAATCTGATTCCCAACATAAGCAGTTATCATTCTTTTCAGTTTTTCCCTGATCACATGATAATGTGGAGATACTTCCGAATTGGTAAAAGTAAAAAATGGAAGTATACAAATGTGACATTCCATACTTCAGTTGAAATTGTTAAGCCCTTTAGTTTGACTTGCAAAATTTATACTGCCCCAACAATTTCCAAAAAACCACGTGTTGATAGAAGAGTTAACACTTTAAAGTTTTGTACACAATTTGGTTGCACTGATTCATTTTTTGACAATGAATCATTAGAAGTACACTTGTTATCAGAAAACCACAATTTTCAATCTGTGAAGAAATCAATGGTAGACAGAGCAAAACTATCTTATATCAACAAAATGAAAATTTCAAACCTAAATTCTTATGATTATCTGCCGTCATCCCAATCTGTCATTAAAGGGATTGAAAACTTCACAGACATCACTGGGTGGGCATTACCAAAAAGAAAAGTGTTCAGATATTCTTCAAAGCAGAAAACATTGTTAATGCAGATGTTTATGTCTGGAGAAGAACAAGGGAAAAAATGAGCCCAGAGCAGGTTCACCAGCAGCTGAGGACAAAGTTAAAGCCAAGTGAATATGTGACAACTCAACAAATTCGATCATTTCTAGGCAAGTAAATTTACTTCTATATTTACTGATACCCAAAGTATGAATGATATAAAATTTAATTTTATTCTTTTCTTGAGTTTTAAGATAAATATTTTGAATTTACCTTCATGCTTCAAGTACATTTTTTTAGATGGAGTAAACAAAAAAGAGAAGGAAAGCTAGTTACCATTTTTTGTGAAGATGCTAATCTAACTGATAACATGATTGATCTGACTGATGATGCGAGACATACAAGTCAAAATAAAGATGATGATTTAAACAACGATATTCAGCTCATAGCAAAGGAGTTAGCAGCTGATTTTCAAATTGGTGATTGGGTTGCTATTGAATATAATATGCAGTGGTATCCTGCAATAATTCAAAGTGTAAGACGTTATAACATCAAAATATTTAATTTTTGAGTATTAGATCTTTTTTATTAAGTTATATAATTATTAATTTATTAACCACAACATTTAAATGTAAGAAATATTCAGAAAGCACCAATGATTAGACGTTGTTTTACTTTTAACTTAACCCTGTAGGTCAATCGTGACAATGTTCATGTTTCTTGTATGGAATATTCTACTACACCTGGAAAAAACTGTTTCAAGTGGCCAACCAATGAAAATATTCTCCAATATTTATATCTTGACGTTATTTGTAGGATTGATGCACCAACACCAACTATTCAAAGAGGGGACTATTCTCTCTCAATAGACGATATGTATAACATAGAAATTCAAATTGACAGATAAACTTCTTTAAAACTTTATTTGGTTTGCTTTCTTAAACAAGTTGTATTTGAAAAAACGTTTATCCGAAATTTATATAATTGTTTTAACAATGATATAAACACTTCAAAGTGTGTGATGTTTGGATCTTTTTCTCATTAAAGAAGCTTAGAAAATAACTTTTATCAAGCGCTTTTATACAGTTTTTTGTTAATAAAAAAGGTATTTTTTATTTATTTTTAATTAGAGTACTAATTATTAACGAATTATAGAAGCCGTTGCTAAGCATATCTATGTCGTTGCTAGGGTATTTTGTTGGTTAAGAATGTGGCAAAATTAGACTATTTCTAGGACTTCTCTAGGCTTTTTATCGCTTAAGCACATGAATTTTTTTTCAGATATTGGAAGATGCATGTATAAGGAAACGAAATAACTTATACGTTTCATGACAGACCTAAGGCCACGATTGTTATTTGTAATCTAACAAAGCGTATTAACCGCGAAAATTCATTTTTGGAAGCTTACTCTTTCCCAGGCTCTTGCATACTCATAATTTTTTTTCTATAAATTCAATGTATACCTTATTGGCTTTCAAAAACAGTTAAGTAAATTATGTGCAAGTAATGGCCTTAGGAGATATAAATGGTCAAAGTACGGGTAAAATTTCAAATTTAGCGGTTATGAACCGTGATTTCTAGACAACAAAAAGTGTAAACATTTTGAATTTTTATTTTAAGCAGAGAAATCTAGCTAGAGTAATAGAAAAAAGAAAAAGAAATGTGTTTCTCAAGTTCATATTGCTAAAATTGTCCCTAAAAGTAGTAATTCCATTTCATGCACCAATATTTTTACAAAATGGGCCAAATTTCAGCCCCCGATATCTCCGCAAATAATGGGAGTTTTCGAAAAAAAATTTAACTGTGGCCTAATTTCATTGTTTACTATAAGATAAAGAGATTTTGAAGACATCACTTCCAGACTTTGCTGATTTTGCCTATATTTCTCAGATAATGGCTCTTTATTACATTCTTAAAATTAAATTCACTTTTATCAGACACGTTTTTCTGTATGTTATCTTTTCCAGGCGGAGCGTTTAATAAACTTTGGATTTGTTTTTTTTCAAATAATTTAGTTTACAAATTTTTTTTGTGAAAATTATTAGTGCATAAATTTGGCCAGAATCAGCTTTCGTAATGATCAGATTTCTTAATTTCTAACACAATAGGTGGATATTTAGGTTAAAAATAACTTGTTTCTCCACGCAGCGAATTTGTTTGTGTTTTGGAGTTATTAGAGAAAAATATAAAGAGGACTATTTATAAATGTTAAAAATGAACGTTCATCTTTTATAAGAAACGTTCATCTTTTATCATAACGTTTTTCATTGAGTTTTCATTTTCATTTCAAATGACTTTTTTTAATCAAACGTTCATCTTTTATCATAACGTTTCTCATTGGCGTTATGAACAACTGTTTATAAACATAACCAAAACTTTTCTTAGATAAATATTAAAGTAAAACATATCAGTCAAATATGTCTAAAATTACATTCTTTGTGCTACAAAATTGTTTTATGTAAATATTTTGTTTTGTTTTAAAGTTTACTTCTATGTAATTTACGTATCATTTAATTTTGCCAAGTAAGTCGTAAAAAGTTTCTAATACAATAAAAAATTGTAAATCAAAATAAAGTTACGATAAAATTTTACTATACATTTTTTTAAACTTAATTTTCAAATTTAAAACAAAAAGCTAATAGTAAAAAAAAACAATTCTATTAATAGCCACGTAATTTTATGCTACTTGACCTAACTGCAGATCACGTTTCAAAAACAAATATTATTTAATTGAATTCTGAGAAAAAAGGAAAATTCTGATAACTTATCAGTATTTTGCTAAATGAACAACATTTAATAACACTAGAAAATGTCATATGGGAATTTTATTTTAATTTTTGTACTTGGATCTCTCCTGGTGCTTAATGTCATTCTTGTCATTCGTGATAGAGAAAACTCGAACTCAATTCACAAACTTAAATCAGGTATAAGCTAAAATTATGCCTCATACATTAACAACCCAAAATCGACAACTTATTAGCGTTTGTTGAAAACTTTTTTCTAATTTTCCTTTATATATATTTCTAAATATTTATATTTATTTTTATATATGTTTTTATTTTTTTCTATATGGTAATGTTTATTTCTATAAGTATATATTTATTACTGTATGTTTATACTTTATTTATTAATTTCTAGATATATAACCTTTTTTATAGATTTCCATAATTTTTTCAACGTTTTTTCATTGCTTGCTCTTTGTTTTATGGCATTTATTAACTTTAAATAATTTGTTCCTATTGTTCCTGTTTCAAAAAAATTTATTATGCTGAGTTTCTTTTATTTTCAAGCAAGTCAAAAGTTTTAGGTATACCATGATAGTAAGCTTAAAGATAAACAAGCAAGTAGCAATTGCAGTAATGAAAACCAAATAATACCAAAATAATTATAAAAAAGATTGATTGACTAAATATGAAGTTACTCTGTAATTGATTGACTAAATATGAAATTATTCTGTAAAATCAAATGAGACCTAATTTCAAACGTTTTATATATAGTCATTTAAATAGTCTATTTTTGATTTCAACCAGGGGATTATTTACCAATTTGTCAATTCGCTAGCTGAGAACCAGAAGGCCGTATGCGCATTTTTTGTGTTACCTAGAAATTCGTATAAATACTTTTTTTTAATCCTATTCACAAACCAACTTAGCTATTTTTCTTCAGTAACAAATTTGACTGCTCTCTATAAACTTTGGGCTTGTAATGAATACATAAGAACTCGAGAGGAGAAACTACCTATGCATTGAGTTAAAGTAACGAAAAGTTTGCGCTTTTCAAGTAAGTTCTTTTTTCAAATCAATAAGTTTTTTGATGCAAGGGCGGATCCATAGGGGAAGAAGTAATGGGGGTAATTGCCCCCTTCCCCCTACTTAAATTTTTTTTCAAACTCATATATTTAACTTAGCAATTGTTTGAAAACGTAAGTAAATTAGAGGAGGCTGTTTAAATGTGATAAAAAATTTCATTAAGTTTGTGTGGTGCAAAAAAAAAATCGGACCAATGGGAGCTATGACGTAAATCGGACCGATGGGATTTATGACATAGTTTCATAGTTACTTAGATTAAGATAGTGAAAGACTAATATTAAAAAAAAATTGACTAAAAAACCCTGAAATTCCCTTTTTCCCCTACTTTACTAGAAAGGTCGGGTCAACCAAACCAATCTCCTCCCATCTTTCCCGCCATTCTTTCCTAAACGGTCTCCAGCCGTATTCACTTCTCTCCATTAAGCTCAACGAAGTTTTTGTATGAAAATTCATTACAAGATTGCTAAGTAATGAAAACATTTTTTAAATTTGTTTAAATAAAATTAATACTAAAATAAAACATTTTTGTTCAAAAGATTATTTTTTTAAAGAATTTTTTTGCTAATGTAGCTAAAAAGGATCTGGATCCGCCCCTGCTTTAATGCCGCAAGGATCAAGGAGTAATGCTTGTGGACTTACACCAGTAAAACCAAGTTTAGTTTCAACGTCAATAGCTAATACTATGTTAAAGGCAAAACATCACTGTTATTATCAGATATCTTTTATATTATCAGATTAAACCCATCAATATTCACTTTTTAGATAAGGTTTAAAAGTTTTTTAATCTTATTATATTTTTTATTAAGTTCCAGTAACTATTTTCTATTGCAGTTTCAATTATTCTCTACTCTAAAATACTTTATAGCACGCTTGTTAGCAAAAAAAAATCTCATAGAATCAGATAAATAACTTTTTATTTTCAACAAGTTTCCCTGTCTTTATTATACCTTTCAGTAATTCTGACAGCAACGACAAAATAACTAATGGCAGTTTTAGTTGGCAAAGCTTTCTTGTTTTTCTAATGTTGAGTCTTTTCTTCTACCACTGGCTTTACCACAATCACTGACTATATCAATACAGAACTACTATATATCTAAGTTTGGCAGTCTCTTTAACATCTAGATCAAATTAATGCATAGATGAAACACTGCCTTTTTTTTTGTTGCTGTGTTTTTTATCGAAATTTGTGAAATTTTTAGTCACATTAGCCAAGGCAACAAGCACGGTCATCATAAGATTCTTATAAAATTAATATAGCATTGGTAAAGACAAAGCTATTTTCTCTCTTTTAAGACAATGTAACAAACATCTTGCCCACTTAAATTTTTCAATATTAACTTATGTATTTTTTGCCACTAAATTCAAAAATTACATCCGTTTTGATTTCACATCAATAATTTTAAATTCATGCCTAACTTCATACTTTCTTGATATGAGCGCAAATTTTCTCTTAGTCAGTATGCTGCATACTATAAGTACGTATCATATAGCACTTTTTCTTATAACAAAAGATACTTAGAAAGTATGATATTAGTGAAAATAAAATGTATAATACAATGTGTAATACAATTCTTTACAACAAATGCTTTTAAACTTACTATTACACTACAAAATGCACAAAATGCACACCAAGTTTAATTTCAACTTTTTATCATCGCTCTTTCAACTTAATCTGACTTTTATTATTATTTTTTTCATTGTTTTCGTTTGGGGTCCAACAAACATGCAATCTTTGATCTTAGCCTCAGATAACTTCTGAAACATGAAACAAATGTCTTGCTTCTGCTCCAAAATCTTTTAAATCTTAGTTTGATATGAAGTGAGGTTAATAAAATGTTTAAGAAAATTTACTTGAAGCTGCTTTAAAAAATTGAACTACTCTGGCCGTAATTTCACTCATGAAGCCCAATAAACTTATCATAAGCAGCTCTCATGTCCAACAAGCAAAAAAAATTTGAATGTTTTGTGGTAATCCTCTTTGTAAGCCAAGCAAGAAAATAAGCATCTTGAAATCATCACACTTGATTTTAAAAGATCTAAATTTATCAAGAAGTTCTTTGATATTATCATAGTATTTTTACTTCTGTACATAATGTGCAAGAAACAAAGATGGATATTATTTTTCATTGTGGAGCAACACTGCTTAGAGACTTTGTTTTGAGCTACCTATAATTAGTCGCTATTGCGCATGATCAAGCTCGAGTCTAAGAAAAGTAAATAAACTACTCACATCTTTAAAAAAGCATATACTATTACACAAATCATAGTAAACTTCAAGTTCTTTATGTCGTATGCAATCCAGACAGCCTTGATAAAAGAAGTTTAGCCCCTGACTTAGTAAGACCTAAATTTTTAATTAAATTACCCTAATTTGGATATATATATATATATATATATATATATATATATATAATATATATATATATATATATATATATATATATATATATATATATATATATATATATATAAATTTGTATATAATTTCTTTTTAATTATATATAAATTTTTTTAATTTAATCTCGTCAAAAAATCAATTATATAGGTCTGATATCGTTCATCGAGCACTCTTGCTGAGTATATGCTCAGAAGCAAAATTAAAATTATATATATATATATAAATATATATATATATATATATATATATATATATATATATATATATATATATATATATATATATATATATATTCAGCATATATATATATATATATTCAGAATATATATATATATATATATATATATATATATATATATATATATATATATATATATATATATATATATATATATATATATATATATATATATATATATATATATATATATTCAGCAAGATTGCTCAATGAACGATATCAGAGCTATATAATTGATTTTTTGACGAGATTAAATAAAAAATAACTACATAATTTTTACTTCTAAAAGTTTCATGCGTTTAGCAATCATCGGGTAAATAATGCATTGTTGAAAAATATACTCTTGATTAAATCGTAGTGTTCAAAAACAAAGGCAAAGCAAGTATTTCTTTTGTTAGATTGCTGTTGGCGGGGAATTGTTTAATTATTGACCAGATAAATTTGGGTGTTATTTTGAAGTTTTCTTTTATCTGCCTTATATACTTTGAAAGGGTGGTTGAATTTTTCATCTTTTTGTTTGTGAATGAGTGTTTGTGGTTACCCCACTTTTCTTCCACCTTCTGCTAGATCAATATATACTTTTTCTGGAGTGAGAGGGGTGATACTATACATTTATAAATAACGTTTGAGGCTCTACATTTTTCTATTATAGGGCAGTTTTCTTTATTTATGCAATTGCAGGCTGGGTATTCTTTTTTTTTTTTGAATTGATTTTCTTGTTGTGGCTTTTAATGATTATTTTGATGTTTTTGGTGCAGCTGTTTGGTGTTTCGATTAAATAGTTTACTTAGGGGATGGGATGTTGGAAAATGTTTGTCGATTAAGTTTAGGAAGATACGTCCGACATTGGTAGAAACGCTTTTACTATACGGGGGTTGAACCATATTATTTTTCTTTTTCTTTTCTTTTTTGGGGATTATACTTTAAATTAAAATCATATATATATATATATATATATATATATATATATATATATATATATATATATATATATATATATATATATATATATATATATATATATATATATATATAAACATGTATAACTTCAACGTAGACAAAAAATAGCAGTAGCGTAAAAAAATAAAACTTTATGAAAATTAAATGCATCTTGTAAGATGCATTTCTTTTTAATAAAGTTTTGAACGCTATTGCTATTTTTATTTATAAATACTTCCTGTTTAATATAATTAAATGTATTTGGAGAGTATAACGATAAGTATACTAATAATATGGCAATTAATTAACAAGTAATATAACTGTATTAAAATACTAATATTAAGAAAAATATAAAGGTGTATAAAACACCTATACACTTTTAAATTTTAACGCTCAATTTAGGTTTTTTGAAGTAAGGTTTATATTCTTTACGAATATAAACATCATTTTTAGATGTTTATATTCGTAAAGAATATAAACATCTAAAAATCTTGTCACTAAAAACCTTATAACAATCGTTTCATCAATAAAAAGAAAAAG